CTGTAAACAGTCCGTAAACAGCCCGTAAACAGTCTGTAAACAGTCTGTAAACAGTCCGTAAACAGCCCGTAAACAGTCTGTAAACAGCCCATAAACAGTCCGTAAACAGCCTGTAAACAGTCCGTAAACAGTCTGTAAACAGTCCTGCTCTGACTCCGCCCCTGCTGTAGAATTTGGCTGAAGATCATGTGACTGTGTGGGTGTGGACAGGTTTTTCTAGAACTACGCGACGAAGACACTCTCCCATTGATGTTTTCCTACGCCTTCCTACGTTTTCCTACGTGTGATGTCACTTCCTGTAGAGTGGTTGTTCCAGTGTAGTTCAGTTGATGTTTCCCATTGTTGAAACCTTAACGACAGCGTCTCTATATCCAGTGGGTTTTTATTCTCAGTGTGGTTTCTTCTTCTTCTTCTTCTCCTGTCCCGTTAGCTGAACAGCCTCCTGATCAATGATTGACAGCTGAGTGTTGATAGGCTGTTGTCCTAACCTGCTGTGTCACCACTGCTGGCTCCTTTCCCACTCCGTCAAACTGGCCTCTTTAGTGTGTGTTTATTTGCTGAAGGTGTGCATTTATCACACAGTCAGAATTACTCAGTCTCACGCACACGCACACACACACACACACACACAAATGCAGAGCAGAGATTTGATTGGAGGGTGTTTGAACCAATCACAATTCCAGGTTTGTGTTTATTTTAGTTTTCATGAAATCAAAAACAAAAACCTTTGAATGGATTTTAGTTTTAAGAGTCTTTCCAAAAATATTAACTGTAATTCTGTCTGAAAATGTGCTGATGTCACGACATAAACTGTTCTGATTGGTGCTGATTATTTCAGAGGTTAATTAGTGAGTAACATCCAAAGTCCTGCTCCTATAAAACTAAATCTAAAGTCACGTGTTGGTCCAAGAAATTTGACACAGTGTGGCATCAGCAGCAGCATCATCAGCAGCATCAGCAGCAGCATCATCAGCAGCATCAGCAGCAGCATCATCAGCAGCATCAGCAGCAGCATCATCAGCAGCATCAGCAGCAGCATCATCAGCAGCATCAGCAGCAGCATCATCAGCAGCATCAGCAGCAGCATCATCAGCAGCATCAGCAGCAGCATCATCAGCAGCATCAGCAGCAGCATCATCAGCAGCATCAGCAGCAGCATCATCAGCAGCATCAGCAGCAGCATCATCAGCAGCATCAGCAGCAGCATCATCAGCAGCATCAGCAGCAGCATCATCAGCAGCATCAGCAGCAGCATCATCAGCAGCATCAGCAGCAGCATCATCAGCAGCATCAGCAGCAGCATCATCAGCAGCATCAGCAGCAGCATCATCAGCAGCATCAGCAGCAGCATCATCAGCAGCATCAGCAGCAGCATCATCAGCAGCATCAGCAGCAGCATCATCAGCAGCATCAGCAGCAGCATCATCAGCAGCATCAGCAGCAGCATCATCAGCAGCATCAGCAGCAGCATCATCAGCAGCATCAGCAGCAGCATCATCAGCAGCATCAGCAGCAGCATCATCAGCAGCATCAGCAGCAGCATCATCAGCAGCATCAGCAGCAGCATCATCAGCAGCATCAGCAGCAGCATCATCAGCAGCATCAGCAGCAGCATCATCAGCAGCATCAGCAGCAGCATCATCAGCAGCATCAGCAGCAGCATCATCAGCAGCATCAGCAGCAGCATCATCAGCAGCATCAGCAGCAGCATCATCAGCAGCATCAGCAGCAGCATCATCAGCAGCATCAGCAGCAGCATCATCAGCAGCATCAGCAGCAGCATCATCAGCAGCATCAGCAGCAGCATCATCAGCAGCATCAGCAGCAGCATCATCAGCAGCATCAGCAGCAGCATCATCAGCAGCATCAGCAGCAGCATCATCAGCAGCATCAGCAGCAGCATCATCAGCAGCATCAGCAGCAGCATCATCAGCAGCATCAGCAGCAGCATCATCAGCAGCATCAGCAGCAGCATCATCAGCAGCATCAGCAGCAGCATCATCAGCAGCATCAGCAGCAGCATCATCAGCAGCATCAGCAGCAGCATCATCAGCAGCATCAGCAGCAGCATCATCAGCAGCATCAGCAGCAGCATCATCAGCAGCATCAGCAGCAGCATCATCAGCAGCATCAGCAGCAGCATCATCAGCAGCATCAGCAGCAGCATCATCAGCAGCATCAGCAGCAGCATCATCAGCAGCATCAGCAGCAGCATCATCAGCAGCATCAGCAGCAGCATCATCAGCAGCATCAGCAGCAGCATCATCAGCAGCATCAGCAGCAGCATCATCAGCAGCATCAGCAGCAGCATCATCAGCAGCATCAGCAGCAGCATCATCAGCAGCATCAGCAGCAGCATCATCAGCAGCATCAGCAGCAGCATCATCAGCAGCATCAGCAGCAGCATCATCAGCAGCATCAGCAGCAGCATCATCAGCAGCATCAGCAGCAGCATCATCAGCAGCATCAGCAGCAGCATCATCAGCAGCATCATCAGCAGCATCATCAGCAGCATCATCAGCAGCAGCAGCATCAGCAGCAGCAGCAGCATCAGCATCAGGCCTCTGTTCTAACAGCTGGACACGGAGGTGAGTACTGCAGTATTGTAGTTTGTTCTGCAGATTATTATTAAACTGTATTTGTCACTTTTACAGTTTTACAGTTTTATGTTGATTGTTACAAACAACATTTTAGTTCCATCCATTTTCATCCACTTATCCGTTACCGGGTCGCGGGATGCTGAAGAGCAGCATCATCAACCAGTACGTGAAACCGGGTCGCGGGGGCGGCCGTATCAACCCCCCTAAACCTCCCTGTGGGTGGTGTGTCCACTGGACATTTTAGTTCCGTAACGGTGTTAATAGGAACAATGTTTGTCCGACTTTTCTGCAAATGTATTGTATATGTCTTAACAACGTAACCAAGAACAAGAGAGAGTTTTGATGTGTAACTATTTTGACAGTATAAATATAAAATAAATCTCTTGTAGTTTTTATGCCTAAAATAATATTCCGTTACCGGGTCGCGGGATGCTGAAGAGCAGCATCATCAACCAGTACGTGAACAACTGCGGAGCTATTCACATTTTCATTTCCTGGGTCACAGAATTTCACATGGGTTTGGACTTTGGAGTTCTGGGAATGACGAGCAACAGTGGACAAGGACCAACAGACGCCTTAGAGCTCCGCTTCTTCTACAGCTGTCAGTCACGCTCCGCCGAGGCGGTGAGGGAAGTGACAGAGTTCGCCAAGAGCATCCCAGGATTCACTGAGCTGGACCTGAACGATCAGGTGAGTCCCACCAGGGGGCGTTAAACACCAGCCGACAGACTAGGCCTGAACTGTTGTTTCTTCCTCCCAGGTGACTTTGCTGAAGTACGGTGTGATCGAGGTTTTAATCATCATGATGGCTCCTCTCATGAACAAGGACGGGACGCTGATCTCCTACGGACAGATCTTCATGACACGGGAGTTCCTCAAGAGTCTGAGGAAACCGTTCTGCCAAATGTTGGAGCCAAAGTTTGAGTTCTCCGTCAAGTTCAACACCCTGGAACTAGACGACAGCGACATGGCCTTGTTTCTGGCTGTCATCATCCTCAGTGGAGGTGGGGGGGGGGAGCCGACAATACTG